GCCACGCTCCCGGGGCGCCGTGCACCGCTGCCTCCGCCGACGCTGGTAAACGCTGTGCCCCCGGAGGGCCTCGCCTTCCCCGCCAGGCCCCGACCTCCCCGCCGCCGGTTTCCACAGCCACGCCCGGCTCCGAACACTGTGAGTATGCGGCCACGAGGGCGGGAAGGGGCCCTTCCCGGGGCTGTGAGCACGTGGCGCTGCAGGCGCAGAGCGCCGCGTGGTCTCGGCTGAGACCGCAGAAGCCCTCGTCCTGGACCCAGTGCACCGGCTGCGCCTGCAGGGGCTCCCAGCACCGCGCAGTACCTGCCCTGCCGCTGCGTCTCCCCTGCTACTTTAACACGCTCGCTCAGGGCTGGGCGGAGCAGCGGAGCCTTGCCCGGCATGCCTGAGGCCCTGGGCTCTGTCCCCAGCACCGCACACAGGAAACAACGAACAAATACGTAACACCACCGGCCGTGGCCCACTGAGCCCAGTTACGCAGCCCACTGATCCTTTTGGAAAACACCCGGGAGCCGGACCGCTGGGATGCTGGGTGGGGCGTCGTCCACTCTAAAAAGTGGCCATAGCGGCTGGCGCTCCCGCCAGTAGAGAGAGTGTTCCGAGGCCGTAATCCTCACCAGTGCCTGGCCCGGAACCTCGGAACACCCCTGTGGCCAGGCAGCTTTGGGGGCTATTTGCTGCCAGCCTTTCCTCCACGGGAAGGGGCTGCCCATTCCTCTTGCCCGTGTGTCTGCTGGGTCACAGGAGCCCGGGGGGAGGAACCTGGTGGACGTGGGGCGGCCGCTGTGAGGTTCTGGTTGGAGTCCGGGGGTACCCCTCCATCACACTCTTTCCTTCCTCCTCAGCCTGCGGCTTCTCCTTTGAACCAGACCCCACGCTCCGGGATGCAGAGGCCATGGCCCGGCGGGCACCGTGGATGGTCAGCGTGCGGGCCAACGACACCCATGTCTGTGCGGGCACCCTCATCGCCTCCCGCTGGGTGCTGGCCGTGGCCCATTGTGTGACCCAGTGAGTCGGAGCCTGGGGGTGATGGCGGAGAGACCCTGCAGGACAGGGGATGCAGTCCTCCCTCCCTGCTGGCCCATCGGTGGCAGCTGCGTCCCAGCCTGGCTTCACCCCAGCTCTGGGCGGGTGTGGGGGCTGAGTCCTGTAGATTCTCTCGGGGCCTGGCCTTGGGAGTGGACATGCCCTGTGCCCCTCACCTGACCCTTGGGTGCTGTGAGCTGTCCCACGATAGGGAATGGAGCACTGGAACCCGTCAGTCTGCTCTCTGCCACCTTCCGGCTCTTTCCCTCTACCCCTTTGCTCCTCTCGGCCTCTGTCCCTCCCTCCTTGGGGCCCTGAGGGTGGAGAGGGGATGGGAGGGGAGGCAGATGCACACGGTTACTCGCTGGGGCGTCTGCTCGGTCTGGGGACAAGAGAGTGGGTATCCCACGTTCCGCGGCCTGGAGGCGGCCTGAGGGGAGGGACCCTGCCAAAGGAGACCCAGGCTCCATGTCCACACAGGGACCCCACGGCTGCACCGGGGAGGGCAGCCTGGGAGCCGGACTGTGGGCAGCTGCACAGCGCGCCTCCCACCTGCCAGGGTGCAGCTTGGATGCTGGGAAGAGTCCACACGCGGTAGCCAGCAGTGCAGCCCAGAGCAGGGCACCGGGCTTCCGCCAGCCTCAGTTTCCCCTTTCGTTTTAGGGAAATGGGGAGCCGCGTTCACATCTGTTGTGAGGAGCATGCGGGGGGTGGACAGAGCCGGGGACAGGAGTGGGCTAAGAGGCAGAGCTGAGGGCAGGCACCCCTCCCGGCTCCCCCAGGCACGACACGAACTACACCGTGAGGGCAGGGAGCCCGTGGATCGATCGGCTGACTCCGACCAGCACCGATGTCCAGGTGCTGCAGGTCATCGTGAACCCCCGGTACCACCCCCAGCGCTACTGGTCCTGGCTCGGCCAGGCCGACAACATTGGCCTCCTCAAGCTGCAGCACGCGCTCAACTACAGCAAGTACGTGTGGCCCATCTGCCTGCCTGACCTGGACGCCCGGGTGAAGGACGGTTATCTCTGCACCGTGATGGGCTGGGGACTTTCCAGGGCTGACGGTGAGTCACAGCCGCTCAGGCCAGGGTGCAGGCCGGGCTCCCCTGGGGATGAACGTTTCTGGGACTCCTTCCCCGAGGGCCCCGCTGCCCGTGAGACTGTCCCGTTGGGTCTCTGAGGTCTCCTATCCTCGAAGGTCCAGGAAGTGCGTATATCATGGCCACTCAGGCCTTGCAACTCCGAATGCCCTTGAGCTCTCAGACCCAGGGTAGGCGGATGGGCAGGACTTTCATGATGGGCACATCTAATCAAGGACAGTGTCTGCTGGGAGGCAAGCAGGGCCCTGTGTCTGCACCTGGGAGTCACTTAGGGTCTGTTCGAGCTCCTCCCCTCTCTGGGGCCTCTATCCCTCGTCATTCCGATGTGGGGCAAAGCCTCCAAAGCAGGCATATGCTCAGGCCCGCCCGGGTACTCCAGGAGCGTCCACTTCCTTGGGGGACCTCTGAGTGAGAGGGGTGCCCTTCCCTGTACTCCAGAACAGCCCATGCTGGGGAGGAGCTGGGAAGGGCCAGGAGTCTCCTTTCCCAAGACACACGGGGTGGAGGGCTGGGGAATGTCGGGAAGGAAGGCTTTGCCCCCAGTGGCCTTGGAGAAGAGCCAAGAGCCTGAGGTGGGGAGGGAGGAGGCGCGGACGGCAGGAAGCAAGGCTGGATGCGGGCATGGTGGCCTGCTCCGGCGCCTCCAGATCCAGGTGCCCTTGGGAAGCACCAGCTAGACGGGTAGGTGGGCTGTGCCGCTGTGTGACACGCAGCAGAGGCCGGCGGGGACGTTGGGGAGATCAAAGAGAGGATGGAGGTGAAATTAGCGGCCGAGAGTAGCAGTGAGCCAGGCCCGTCCTGCAGGCGCGTGGCCCCAGTTCCGGACCATCCAGGAGAAGGAGGTCACCATCCTGAACAACAAGGAGTGCGACAACATCTACCACAAGTTCTCCACCGTCCCCTCCCTGGTCTGGATCGTCACCTCCCAGATGATCTGTGCCACGGACCCCAGCAGGGAGCAGTTCTGCTACGTGAGTTCCCTGCCCCTTCCCTGCTCTCCCGGCACCCTCAGAAAGCGGAGGGGGCGGGGCACAGAGGGAAGGGACAGGCGGGCACGGAAATGAGGGGTCCCGGAAGGTGGGAGCAGGGAGCTGGGGGTGGAGGAGAGACGGGTGGGGATGGAGGGGGAGTGGGTTCCTGGAGTGTGAGGGTGGGTGTTTGGGGGGGTCCCTGAGCCAGGCGCATCCCCCAAGGCCTCACCTGGCTCCTCCATCTACTCCCTACTCCTGCAGGAGGAGACGGGGGAGCCCTTGGTGTGCTCCTCAGGGGGCCTCTCATACCTGATGGGCCTGGTGAGCTGGGGTGCAGGCTGCGAGAAGAGCGAGGCACCACCCATCTTCCTCCGAGTCTCCCCCTACCAGTCCTGGATCCGGGCCCATCTCAGTGGGCAGCCCCGGGGCCTGCACGCCCCCTCCTGCGCCCTGCTGCTGTCCCTGCTGCCGTCCCTCAGTCTCCTGGCTGCTCTGTGATGCGTGGTTCATTAAACACTTTTCTTCCTCGCCTTCTCCCTGGTCTGGGGCCCTGCTCTCCCTGGGCCGGCTCTGGCGGGGGCAGGTGTACCAGAGCGGGTGGGGCCCCAGGCTCTGCCTCTGTCCCGCGGGCCTTGGAGGGATCATGGAGGGTGGCACTGGGTCAGAGGCTGTGTAACCTGAAGCTGGGGCCGCAGGGACCCCGGGCCAGGTGGAGCTGCGTCTCTGGGCTGGGAGGAGTGGGTTCTTTCCGTGAGCTTTATCCCCGCTGGCTAGGGGCCTGGGTCAGGTGTGGGGCACGTGCATTGCCAGGCTTCACCGGCCGAGGCTCTTGGTGGCCCCTTCTCTGCCCCTTGGGACTTCCCTGCCTGGCCACACAGGGAGGTCCTGACCCCGAGGGGACAGTGACCCTGGCCAGCCCTGTGCGGAGGAGTCCGCGGCTGTATCCTGAGGGTGCAGGGCGGCGTGCCCAGCTTCCAGGGCAGCCCCCGCGGTCTGTGGCCCTCGCTGCTGCCGAGCCCGAGCCCCTTCCTGTCCGCCCGGATTAGCGTGCGCCTGTAGGGTGCTGACCTGTGAGTCCCCAGCGCCAGACTCAGATGTCAGAGGCCCTGGAAGCCATAGGGCAGAGTGGAGGAGCGTCCAGGACAGCCTGCCCAGCCCCGTGCCTCCCAGCCCCAGGCCTTGCCTGCCTTGGAGCCAGGTGGCCGCAGCGGCCCGTCTGCCTCTAGACCCCTCTAGACCCCTTTTCATCACCCTCATCGGGCCAGGGGAAGAGTCAGGGAGGGAGGTCCGGCCTGGCCTGAGCCACCCGCCACGACTGACCGCCGCGTCAGCCCCACATAAGTGGCCAGGGACAGAGCATGCCGAGGGGCTGAAAAGGCGCTCAGCTTTATTTACAAATTGTCAGGCTGCTGCTCCAGCAGCGCCCCTGCTGGAGAACATCCTGCGCTGTCTCCGAGTCCCCGAGCTCAGGTCTGGGAGCCACGTGTAAGGGTTGGTGCCCCGTGGAAGCCCCTTGTCCCTCTCCCTTCCCCAGGGGTCCCTCGGTCCTCCTCTTCCGCTCAGAGACGGCTGTGAGGAGTAGGGAGGCAGGTGGCTACTGTGTGGAGCAGCTGTAAGCCGGCTGCTCCCCCGCCTTGACTCCCACTGCTGGGCATAGAAGGAACCACCCTGGCAGCCCGACATCCCCTACGCTCTGGACCCTGTGCCCGCTGCACTCCAAACCTGCCCTGGAGTTCTGGGCCCCAGGGCCTCACGTTAGCGTCTTGCATCTGAGCTCCAGGGTGACAGGCAAAGCAAGTGTGCGTCATCATGCTGAGCCTGGGTCTGCTGGGCCGGCCCCCTCACCGCAGGGACAGGAGCCCGCCGGGCGTGGGGCAGCTCCTCGCCATCCGGGCGGCCTCCCGCTGCCTGCGTCCAGCCGGGTGTGGCCTGTCACTCAACCTGGTTGGCACAGAGGGAAACTGCCTTCACTGCCTCAGTGCCGCTGCTGCCCGTGCCAGGAAAGGTGGGGACAGCAGGCCATGGAAAGTGCCCGTGTGGCCGGCAGGCCGGCAGCTGTGTAGTCTTGGCCCTGCAGGTGCCGGGCTATGAGGATCGGCCATGGCCTTGGCTCCCCCGGACACAGCTCCGTGGGCCACCTCTGAATCGGAGTCCACGCTGCCAGCCCACTGCCACCGCCTCATTTCTCTCCTTTCTTCTTCTTGGCTTCGTTCTTCTCATCCTCCTCTACCTTGATGGCCACCGTGTCCACACTGTCCTTCTTCTTCTTCTTCTTGTCCTCTGTGGGGAGGGAGAGAGGCTCTGGCGGGGGTGGGGCTAGGATCTCGGGGAAGGTCCCTAGGGCCTGCCTTGCCCTTGCCCTTGCCCTCCTGCTTCCTTCCACCTCCTGCTGGGGAGAGGCTCCTTGCCCCAGGCCCAGCCCCAGTCCCAGTCCCTGCTGAGGCGGGTTGTGTGTCCTAGTCCCCTCCTTGAAGGGCAGGAACAGGGTGACTCGACCGCGGGTGGTGCGGGAGCCGCCCCTCTCACCTCCGGGGATTTCCGTGAGCTCGTTGAGGGGTGGCACGGTCTCCAGCTTGTCCGTGTACATCTTGGCTGCCTTCCGCTGCAGGTACCGAGCTTCGATCTCCTTCCGGGTGCGTGGCACGCGGCAGTTGAAGACACAGCACAGGGTGATAACTATGGAGAAGACAGAGGAGGCGTGGCCGGGGCTGGGGCTGGGACTGGGCCTCATTCGCCCTGCCCTGTGCATCCTCTGTCTGGTCCTGGCTTGAGGCACAGGGCTGTGCCATGCCCCAAGCTGTTTCCCTCCCCCAGGCCTCTGGGTTGCTCTGTGTACCCTGCTTTCCTGCCGGGCTCTGAAGGCAGAGCCAGCGTGGCCTCAGACCCCCTGAGGACATGGCTGCCTGTCCTGTGGCCCCTGCTGGCCGGGGCCTCACCAGGGAGGGGGCCCAGACCCTGCCCAGGGCGTCTGCCTCACCAGAGTTATTCCGGGAGCGGTTTTCCGGCCGAGGGCAGCGGCGCCCACACCAGTTGGGCCAGGGCACGGTGCTGGCCTACGCAGTGAGGGCAGAGCAGGGCGTGACTGCCAGGACCTGGCTGGACTGTGTTTGTTTCTCTAAGGCCCCCGCAGTCTGACCACCTTGGCCCCAGCTCCAGGGGAAGGGGCGGAGCTTGTTCTTTTAAATCAGATGGGCAAACCACGCTTCCTGGCTGACTCCTGGGGGACAGCAGGGCCCAGGGAGCACAAGCCAGGCCTATTTTGAGGAGACAGATTGGACCTAGGTAGCCTGGGTTGGAGCACCCCCTAGGGTCAGCTTGTGCAACCAGGGCCGGGTCGCTGTAGCCAGCTATCACAGTCCCAGCCTCACCTGTAGTCCAAGCACTGAATGAATGAATGGGATGGCTCCAGAGCCCTGCTTGGGGAATAGGGCTGGGCCTAGACATCCAACAGCACCAGGGACCCCCCAGGGCGAGGCTGGCAGGATTCGGAGTGTGTACAACTGTCTCCGGTAGATCTGTGCAGAGAGCCGGCCTGCCTCTTCCCAAGAGCCGGGCTCAGGTCTCTCCAGCCCTCTCTGTGCATGCCTGAGATCTGGGCTTGGTCCCCTACCTGACCCTACTGGCTTGGGCCACAGCTCCTGGACACCCATGGGCACCTCCTCGGACTGTCCACTCAGGCTGTGGCAGCAGCCGCTGGTAGCCAGAGCAAGGCTGAATCTGCCCTGCTCCAGGCCTGCCCACCCGGCTGCACCCGGCCTGCTTGCTTCTCTTCAGAGAAGGGGAGAAACAAAGTGCTTTGGGTCGAGTTTGAGTCCAGGGCTGCAGGAGATCCGCCCCAGCCCCCCTGCCCCAGCCCCTCCACCTGGCACCCTGGGCCAGGCAGCCCAGCACGCAGAGAGGTTTCCTAGCCACCTCAGGAGGTGTTGGCTGCCCACCTGCCCCTCAGGCCCCTGGGACTGACCCTGCCCTTCAGGAAACCCCGCTGAGGTGTGGGCGATGTCCAGGTGACACGGCCACTTGCTGCTGTGGCCCTGAGCACTGGTGGCCAAGGGCTGAGCACAGCCTGGGAGCGGGGCTCGTAGCTTCACCCCATCCTCAGGATGCCCCAGAGCTGCTCCCCAGCCCTGTGCTCAGGGCTGCTGGGGGGGCTCTGAGTTCCCAGCCCTGCCCCCGGGTACGGAGTGGGGGTGTCTGTTCTTGGGGCCTCACTGGGAGCGCAAGGCTGCCTCCCACTGGGATGGGGAGGAGGAGACGCTTTCTCTGGCGCCAGGACAGGCACATGGGAGTCAGATGTCGCGTCTTCCTTGGAGCCCCTCACATCTGGGCTGCTGGCCCTGAACTTCCCGCCTTGCCCCCGGGTGCCACCTCCCGGGAAGCTGCTGGGACTCAAAACTGGGTGTGCTGGGTGGATGTCGCATGGGACGTTGCATGGGGCCTCGGAGCCCCTCCCGCCTCTCTCACCCCTTCCCTCCTCCTGACGCCTTTCTGGCTGACCCCCCCCTCATCCACCCAGCCCACCGCCCCCGCCGAGGGCCTGGGCAGGGGAGTGGGTTTCCCCCACTTTACCACCTGCGCTCCCACAGCCTTGCACCCAGCAGCCTTGCCCACCTGGCCTGCATTTCATGCGGATTTTCCGCCCCCCTTTCCGACTCCAGACCCCGTCCCAGGAGGAGGGCCAGGGCAGGGCGCCTGCCAGGCTCACATGGCTGGGACTGCACGGGGGCGCCCAGAGCGGGGAGAGGAAGGGCCTCCTGCTTTGATTTGCGTCCCTCCCCGAAATGGAATTCGACGAGGCAGAGTTTGAAGCCGGAGCCACATCTGCCAGGCATCTGGGGCGCTGCCGGCGGGAGGCGGCCTCGCTGGGCCCCTGGGTGTGGGCCCTGTGAGCTGGCCAAGCTGCGGGAACAGCAGAGGAGGCCACAGGGAAAATGACACGTCCTGCCCTCGCAGGAGTCCCCTGTAATTACCCTAATCGCCGTGTGGTTGCCTCCCGCATCCAGCAGCAGAAATGTTTGGATCTCCACGGCCCCCAGCTCTCCCCGGGGACAGTGCGCGGGTCGGGAGGTGCCAGAAGCCACAGCGGGCCTCTCGCGGGTGCCTGGCCTGCTTGCACTGCCCGGAACTGCTGCTCTGAGCCGCGGGCGGAGGGTCGGGCGGGACGCAAGGCCCGCCGCGGCGTGGGCAGGGCGGGATGGCTACTCACTGATGGACAGTACGAAGAGGGAGAAGATGCCCACCACGTGCCACAGCCGCATGTCCCAGAACACCACGGTCTCCTTGGTCAGTGGGGGCGGCTTGGGCTTGGGCGGGGCGGTGCTGGGCTGCGGAGAGGAAGAGAGAGGAGTGAGCCGGGGGAGGCCAGCGGGTCGGGTCAGAGCCCAGAGGTCCGGGTCTCAGCGAGGACCCAGCCTGATTTCAGAATCCCTCGACACTCAGCGCCTCGGGACCCAGACCCAGCAGCCTAGACCTCGGCCAGCTCAGACAGAACCGACAGCTGAGCAGAGCGCCAGACCCGGCAGTGGGGATGTGCAGGGTGAGGGTGGGTGGTGCCTGGGGAACTGAGGCGGGCCAGGGCCGGGACACGTCCTGCGTCCGGTGCAGCGCCGTCTCACGGGCGCCTGTGTTGGGGACGGGGTGCACTCTCTTGCGGGTCTGGTGGAGCCGGGCCCAGGCTGTGCTGCTTTGCCCCAGGTCCCCACCAGGTGGCCTCATAGTGGCTGTACAGCCCGGCCGGCTTCCTCCGAGGACAGGAGAAATAATTTTAATACAACAGCGACACCTAGAGGCCAGAAGATGTAAGCGCGGCTGAGGCAGCCCTGGGCAGGGTGCTGCGGGTCACCTCTCACCTTTCCCGGGACACGGCCCTGCCCTGGGGGTCTGTGGGGCCATGACCTTGCCCTGGTTTTCTAGGAGTCACTATCTCTCCCCAGGTCTGAAGGGACAGGATCCTTCTCCGAGGTTTAAAGGGATGCTAGCCCCCCTTGTGCTTCTAGAGGACAAAGTCCTACCCCACAGAACAAGGGACATAACCTTGCCTGGGCATCTCAGGAGGCTGTGACCTCTTTCCAGGCATCCTGGGGCTGTGATCCCATCCAGGCCTCTGTAGGGGCTGTGGCCTCGTCCTGGCTGTCTTGGGAATGTGACCTTGTCCTGGGTATCTTGGGAAGGCATGACCTCATCCCAGCTGTCTGAGGGGCTATGGCCTCATCCCGTGACCTTGTCTTGGCTGTATTAGGGGTCCTGACCTTGTCCTGGGTGTCTGGGCAACCGTGACCTCATCCAGGGTGCCTGGGGGGCCGTGACCTCATCCTGGGCATCTTGAGGGGCCATAACCTTGTCCCAGGTGTGTGGGGACTGAACTCTGCCGTGGGTGTCTAGGGCACATGGCCCTGTGGAACCTGGGCAGAGCTCTCCTGGCTAGAAGCGGCTCTGACCCTCTCCCTGTCACCAAGTTTGGGGGAGAGATACGCGGTCGGTGCTGGGGGAGAGGGGACCCTGGTCTCCGTGCAACACAGAGCCGGAGGGACAGACTCGAGGAGCCTCTGTGGCTTCTGCTGTCCCCACACCTGCCCCCTTCCATACCCAAGGCCTGGCCACCCACACACACGCCCGCTGACCCTCACCCGGCAGACGCCACCCTGCAGACCGGGGGCACGAGAGGCCCGCAGGCACAGTGGGCCCGGGCCTGGTTCGGTGCGTGGCTCCCCACTCTGTGCCTTGCCTTAACAACTGCGGGGGGCCTCCTTCCCCTGGGCCTCAGTTTCCCCAGCTTACTTGGCATCCGGTCTCTTAAGGAAAACCTTTCTCCCCAACCCGACAGGACAGTTGGCAAGAGACGACCTCCACATCGTCCTCTGGCTGTAAGCGTGGGGTCAGACACCTTGTGGGGTAGGCACAGTTGGGTACAGGGTCAGGCGTGTGGGGCGGGCACAGACTTGTGGGTACTGGGCATGAGCGGGTGTTGCCGGGCTCTGCCCGGCCCAGGGCTGGTGTCTTACCCGTGACATTGGTCTCTATTTCTAAGGCCCAGGCTGTGGGCCGGCTGGCTGTGTGGACCCGAGTGAAGCCCCCAGGGTCAGAGCTGTTGCGAAGAGCTCACCCTGCACCCTTCCCGCTCCAGTCTGTAGTGGGTGGAGCTGGGCCTGGGCACGGGCCAGGCAGTGGGTGGCGGGCCCTGAGGGGTTAAGTGATGTGGACCCAGCCCTGACCGTACTTCTGGTGCTTCTAGGGTGGCAGGAGGCGGGTTCCCAACACCAGTGCCTTGGGTGAGCAGGGGGCGATGCTTTCCTGGGCCCGGAACGGACTCGACCCTGCCCCAGGCTTCTGCTCGCCCAGGCCGGCTGGGTTTCTGCACCGGGGCCCCAAGGCTGCTCCAGAGGCTCAAGCCAGTCTGGGTCCCCTTACAAGGACACTGGAGCTGACACTGGACCCACTTCAGCCTCTGTCACACCCCCTGGTCAGCAGCAGCGGGGACAGGCTGAGCGGGAGCGCGGGGCTCTGTCCTTGTCCCCCAGCCCCTCCAGGTCAGGGCTGTATCCCTCGGCCACCTGGGTGTGGCTCTGGCCTGCCCCTCCCCTCCTGTCCCACAGCACGGCACCTCAGGGTCCCCTGTGTGCCTCTCACTGTCCCCTGCACTTCTGTCTCCTTGTGGTCAGTGCCAGGACCCAACCAGGTCCCAAGAGCAGAGCCTGTGTTCCCCAGAGGACCCCGCGTGCGGGGCCTGCCTCCCCCATCAGATTCTAGGTCAAGGAGACCAGGGTCTGTGCTCCCCACCAGGAGACCATGGGGTGAACTGCAGAGCCCCCTCCCACAGGGCAGGGCTGTGCCCCCCCAGGTGGACAGGGAGTCAGACAGGAAGCGTCTCCCGCTCCACTGGTGTTCCTGAAATCATCAGATCATCAGACCAGGGAGCCCAGGGCTGGGTCTCCCCTCAGCTCGACAGTCGCCTCGCTAGCCAGGTCTCCCAGTGTCAGAGCAACAGATCAAGCCGGTGCCCCACAGCCCCCTGCCCGGACCCGGAAACTCCATGCCCTCCGCATGCAGCCTCACCTCCACCAGCTGGCTGGCAACCCTCGAGAGGCACAGCCCCAGCGCCCACAGGGGCCCTGCGCCCCGCCACCGCCGCCCGGCCATCTTCTTCGTGCAGCTGTAGCTGGGGGAGACGGTGGCGGTGGTGGGCCACCTGGCGCCCGCCCCGGCCAGCGGTGCTGGTGCTCGCGCTGGGTGGTGGCGGTGGCCAGGAGCTCTGGCTGCGGCAGGGGAGCATCATTTATTCATCGTCGGTGTCGGGTTCCGGCTGCCAACACCATCCCCGCCCGCCTGCTGTCCTCTCCTGGGAGATCAGACTCCAGAATGCCCTCCGCGGCCGGCAAAGGGGTGCGTCGAGGAGGCAGGTTCTTAATCAACAGGTTCCCCCTCCGTCACTGTCCCTCTTGGGCCTCAGTTTCCCCACCTGGGATGGGGGAGGGGCTGGCATCGGCTGATCTAGGAGGCCCTTCCCATGCTGACGTTCTCAATTTCAAAAAACCCTACTGGACCTGGGCTGGGGCGGGGTGTGTAGCAGGCATGTTGCCATGGTGACAGGCGCTCAGGGATGTCCTGGGCTTCTGCGCTGGCTTCCTGCCCAGAGGCGGCTCTGGTCACCCTGGACACCAGAGCTGGCGGGGGCGGCATGGCAGGGAGCAGAGGACGGCTCACTCAGACCCGCTGGTCTCTGGTGCTGCAGAAGTTTCTGGAAGGAGCTGTCATCTTCTGTCCCCCGGGTAGGGTGGGCTGCCTCTGCGGGTGCTGTGTGGCTTCTGTCTGACCCTAGGGGCGTCTGCTTCTGCCCCACTGGGCCTTCCTGACCGACTTTAGCCTGGACACCGAGCCCACTGAAGTCTGCGCTCTGATTCCAACCCCTCCAAGCTCTGAGGGTCCCCAGGGGAGCCAGGGGAGAAGGGGCGTCCAGAGGGGCTGTGAGAGCTGGGGGAGAGCCGGGGGAGGCCGGAGTGGGGAGACCCCCTCCTCTGCTCCTGTCTACTGTGGGTGACTTCCTGCCTGCCGAGTGCTGGGAGAAGGGCCAGGTCTCCGATCACCAAGGACATGGTGGAGATGGGGTGCAGAGAGGGCGGGGCTCCTCTCAGCATGGGACCCTGGTCTGGAGGTCGGTGGGCTGCAGGACCGGGCAGGGCTGCTGGTGAACACCATTACTAGGCACTGTAAACATATTCCAAACAATAGAAAAAGACGGAGCTCCTCGGGACTGCTCCATCCTCCTCGGGGCCCGAGATTCTCCCCAGCACCGGCACCCCAGCGCCGACGCTGGCACAGCACGGTAACCCCGGGGTGCAGTCACCTGTCCCCTCTGCAGCATGGCGTGCTGCTCTTCCACCTCTGCGCCCCTCACAACAGACCGCCGCGAGATTAGCCCCACAGTGAAGGATTTCACAGGTCGGGGCGTCAGCAGCAAGGAAAACCTAAATATACCTCCAGCTTCGCGAGCTCTTAGAAGGCTTGAAGGTCACTCGCTCTGGAGGTCACAGCTGGGTCACAGGTCCTCAGCTGCCTGCCAGCTTCGCTGCGGCGAGCTCCTCAGGGATGCGGGGGATGTAATGTTGCCGAAGTTACTGTGCAAAAACCCAGAGGCCTCTTTTGCTAAGAAAATAATTCTTTGCTTGAGCCGACGGGTGACTAAACTGGGATCAAGCGTTCGCGGCTCGGTCGTCAGGCATCACTCTGTCCCCTTCTCTGTCCTCACTTGGGACGCAGGTTCTACTCAGCACGGCACAGAGCCGTTGCAGATCATCAAAAAATGCTCTGTGCTAGCTGGGGGTGCTGGCGTGTGCCTGCGTTCTGGGAGGCTGAGGCAGGAGCCGGCCTGGGCAGGTTAGTGACTGCTGTGGTTTGTGTCTGGATGTCCCCCCAAAGACTCACGCAGCCGTGGGTGTGGGCCTCTGGAGTTTGCGACTGATTCTCTGTCTAGTGCTGGGGTTACGGGTGTGAGAGCTACGCCCACCCTTCTGTCGTGAACCTCCCTTTTTGCTCTAGTTGCTTTTGCTGTTTTCCACCGGCGTGAACTGTCACCCTGCTGCCCTGCCACCCTGCCTTGGAGCCAGCTGATTATGGACTGAAACCTCCACAAACCGTGAGCTAAATAAACCCTTCCTTCCTTAACTGTAGGCATCAAGTATTTTGTCTCGGCAACGGAAGAAAAGTAACTAAGACAGTGACTTGAGAAATAAATGAATACAAACTATAACACCAGCTTATTTTGGCCTCTCGCCCATGGGAGCAGGAATGTGTTTTCCTTTTCTTTCTCCTCTTTTCTGTCCCCACCTGGTGCTTTGCCAACAGCCGCAGCCTCACAACCCCCTGAAGTCCTGGCACCAGCTATGCAAAAACACTAGGGTCTCTAGGGGAAGTTGACCATGCCCACCTGGAGCAATTTCATCACAAAAAGCAGCAGCTTTGGAAAGCTTGTCCTGAAGGACGCAGCGTCCCAGGCAGGCAGAGCTGCTGTGCTGGCCACTCTGTGTGTGCAGCTTGGCCCCGTCGCCGCCCTCCCCCCACCCCGCCCCCGCCCTGCCCCGCCCCAAAGCGTTGCCAGGGCAGGGGTGGGTGTGCTCACAAAGATTGGCCAGATCTCCGTTCTTCTGTTTTTGAGTTAAAAGCCCGCCCCCCAGGGCCAAATATAGTTCTGTCACGGAGGATTCGGGTCAAACTGACTCCGTCTTAAATAACAGGGTGTTCTGAAAATCAGAATGCAGTTTTACTCTTTAATAACCTCAGGAGTACAAAGCTATACATTTACAAGAAGCTCCATTTGAAGGTTTAATTATTTAAATTTCCTGTTTTGCCCTCTGAAGATGGCAACAGTTGACTGAAAAGAAGTCTTAAAATTAGCTTGTAATCCCAGTTTGTAATCCCAGAGGCTGAGGCAGGAGGATCACAAATGCTAGCCCAGTCTGGGTGATTTAGCAATTTAGAGAGATCCTGTCTCACAATTTAAAAAAAGGGCTGGGGATATAGATCAGTATGCAGGGCCTGGGTTCAATCCTCGATATGACAAACAAAATAAAACCCAAACCCAAACCACCCAAGATGTGTCTTTTAAATTATTCGTATATCATAAAACCTAATTGGCATAAAGGAAATTTAAATAATGGAACTTTCAAATTACGATTCTTGCAGATGTGTAGCTTTATTCTTCATGACTTCCTTGTCAATTTTTATTTTTATTGGTCCATGTTTGTGGTACATCACAATCACAGTCCTTGTGGGGAGTTCATGGGTGGGCAGAACACACCTCCATTCTGTTGTCATCCCTCGCTTCCCTGCTCTTTGTCCTCTCCTAACTTCTGAAGTTATTAAAGTGAAGAGCCTGGTGTGATGGCGCACACCTGTGATCCCAGCACTCAGGAGGCTGAGGCAGGAGGATCACTATGATTTCAAGGACAGCTTGGGCCACATATTGGGACCCTGTCTCAAAAAACTCCAAATAAATAAATACATCCTGAAAGCTAAGGTTTCTCACGCCTTTGAGGGGCTTTCAGCCTTGGTACAACTCTTCCCTCCCACTTCCTCCTGAGGGATTCAGCTGGGAGAGGCCCTGTGCCCCGCCTGCGGTCACCTAGGACGTGGGGCCTCTGGCCTCCGGCCTCTGTCTCCTCCATCTACACCTGGGGATAGTACTGAATTCTCATGAGGCCCACAAGCAACCCCAGATGGGTCCAGCAAGCCTGAAGTTGGGGAGCTCTGGGTGCCCACGCCCCCATCCCGGCTCCCTGAAAGACAGCATCCCCTCCCTGCACACTGGCTTGAAGCTGGCTGCAGAAGGCTGCTTATCCCTTCCTTACTATTCTTAGCTCCTGAGGGTTTCCGGAGGGACCAGCCCAGCCTCCAGGGCCTCTGGGTTGCAACTGATGACCAGGCAGTGGGTGGTGCCCAGGGGACCCTGTGAACCCTGGGGCTCCAGGTTTATCTGGGAGCTGTGGAGAGGGAGTGGGGTTCCTCAGTCCCGGAGCCAGTCTGGTATCCTGGGTGGCAGAGACTCAGCCATAGAGGGGGTGGGGATGGCCTGGTCTGTGACACAGCCCCTGAGGCCTGCTAGGAGCCAGCTGGGGCCAAACTCATTGGCCCCAGGCCCAGCCCAGAATAGCTAAGGTCCAGGCCAGGCCTGGGTCAGCCCTGTGTGTGCATGAGTGTGTGCTGGTTTGTACATATGGCCCACAGTATGCAGGAACAAGTGTGCATCTGTGTGTGAGCCCTGGTGTCTCCAGAATCACAGGCCACTGATACACAGAGGTGCACCCCGAGCATAGAGAGGGTCCGTCTGCGTCCCTGATCGCACGTGCTGGGAACAAAGCTCCTATGGTATGGCACAGGGGCCCAACCAGCAGGCTCAGGAGCAGAGGGGTCCACAGGGCTGCTTGTGTGTGCAAGGAGAGTGCATGGACCCAGTGGAGTTGCAGGGAGCCCATGGAGGCCAAAGAGGAGCGGCAGAGGCGTGCCCCATCCAGCAGACAACAAAACTGGGTTTGCAATGGCCAAGAGGCAGCCTGGGGAGCGGGGGTACTGCTCCCTGCCCTGGGCTCTACAGAAAGCCTGGGCTCTGAGAAGGAAGCTGGGAGAGATGGCCGTGTCCGGTCCTCCTTGAGCCCAGCAGAGCTTCCTTCCCTCAGATGTGCACAGAAGTGGAAACTGAGGCCGGAGGGGGAGGGGCAGGTCCAGAACCTAAGCTCCGCCCTGTGACTTGTCAAGGGAGCCGGGCAGCCGAGGCAGGCAGGCCCAGGCCTGGCTCCGACTGGAGCAGGGGCTACCAGGCCACCCCTTCTGCCTGACCACAGCCACCTCTGGGGCCCTGGCTTCGTCACCTCACGCTCAGAGGTGGCTCGGCAGGCTGCTCAGCCCCTGGAGCCTTGCTGCCGCTGGAATCGCTGGGTGGCTGGGCTGGGTGACTGGTTGGGTGGCCAGGGAGGACCAGGCAGTGACAGCAGCTCCTTTGTTACAGATCTGGTCCCTCCTCCTCCCCAGACCTCTGTCTGGCCTGGTCTTCCCCAGGCTTTCCAAAGCTCTGGCAGGAAATGCAAATTTGGGCTCCACCGAGAAGCGGGGGCACACGCCACTTCCAAGGTCACACCGAAGGACACAGCCTGGGAGGCTGCAGGGCCAGCCCCTCTCTCAGCTGTGGGTTCCACAAATCCACCTGCCTGGGTGATTCAGAGAGGTCAGCAAGATCGCAGGGCTGCACCCCAGGCCAGGTTATGGCTGTGGGGCCCACTCAGGGTGCAGGGCTGAACCCTAGCCCCCCAGCTTTGCCCTGCATGGGGCTCCAGCAGCCCTGGGAGTTCGGTGATGGCTGGGAGCCCTGGCCGGTGACCCTGGGTGCTGTGCTCCGCCTCCTTGGAGGCCCTGCTCATGATGACACTGGGGCGGGACAGGGACTTGGGCGGGACAGGGACTCGGGGCGGGGCGGCGACACTGGGGCGGGGCGGCGACACCGGGGCGGGGCGGCCCAGCAAGGAGTTGTGCAGGTAAGGGGCGGGTCCGCCGCATCTCCCCGCCTGCTACTGGGCGTCAGGGTCCCTGCCGCACTGCTCTCTGTCCTGTGTGCTTGCCGGGGCCATCGGGGTTGGTCCCCACGCCGCCCTCTCCGCCCCGTGGTCACCCTGTGTGGGTTTAAGCCAGCTTGGGGACAGTCCCTGGGCTGCACCCAGCAGGAGGAGGGAGGCTAGCCAGCACAGGCAGAAGGGCTGGACGGACGGACGGACGGAGAAGCAGAATGGTGACATGGTCGCACGGGGCAGCGTGGGTGCACTCTTGACAACGGAGACAGAGTTGAGCGTTTGAGAGACGCAGGTGACTGCAGTCGGGAGGTGCCCGGGGCTGCGCGGGGCAGAGGCGGTGTGTGGAGACGGAGGAGCAGGCGTGACAGCTTCCCCGGCTCCTGGTGCGCTGGTTGACAGGGGCCAGCCAGGAAGCGCAGGAGGCCCCTGCCTGTCGAGACCAGGAAATACCAGAGAGAGGGCCGGGACAGGGTGCGGCCGGGCGGCTCTGGTAGGGAAGCGGGGAGGCCCCGAGACCTTAGCAGCCGCCTCCTGTGGACGGAGTCGGGCTTTCGGAAGATAGAGCAGATCCAGCTGTGGCGATGGCCACAGGGACAGAGGTGACTCACCTGTGCGTGCCAGGGCTGGCTGCACCCACCCCGCTGTGCCTGTGACGCCGAGCCGGCCCGGGGCGCTCCGAGGAGGCCGGGTCCTGCTGGGAACCCGCCGTGCGCCGGGGTGAGTCACCCAGCCGCCCTGAGAACAGCGCGCTGCAAGGCCCGAGGCCTGGACCTGGGCTTGCACAGGCTCGGCAGAGAGCATGCGGGGCATTTCCGCCTTCCCGAGCCTCAGTTTCCCCTTCTGTGCTCTATGCACTGCTGCCACTTAAGGGAACTTGGAACTGGAGGAAGGAAGAGAGGCGGAGGAGGCCATGCCTTGACCAGAGGGGGCGGGCTGCGGAGGGCACAGCCCGGCAGGGGAGCCCAGGGGGCCCGATGACCTGGAAGGACCCCTGAGTGGGTGGCTGCCAACCTAGATCCGCAGGACTCCCTCTGAACAGGGCTCGAGAACCAGGTCCCTGCCCCGGGAATTTCCCTCCACAGTTAGCTCTTTTGAGGGGCGACCGCAGCAGTTTGGAAAGCTGTGATCAGTTGCACCCCCATTTCACAAGGTGGTGACAGGCTCAGAGGGGAGCACGGCCAGGCATGAGCCGGGGCAGGGAGGGACACCAGGGCCCTGTCCTGGGAAGGTTTAAGGCTGTAAGGACAGACTTCCCCTCCCACCCGTTTCTGGAGACACAGATGAGGGACTGCGAGTCTGGGCTGCTCTTCCCCACCTCACGCCTGGGAGCCTCTGTGTCTCCAGAGGCTGGGGTCAGTGGACACAGCGGTGGCTGGGTGTCCAGCTGCTTCCCCTTCCTGCCCAGAGCAGCAGCAGGGGAAGGAAAGGTGGGGCGGGAATGAATGCCGGGCCCTGGGCCAGGGTTCCATCGCTCGGGGAGCTCCGGGCTCTGCTGAAGGAGGCCAGGGCCTTATCCCTGGGGTAAGACCCCTCCCGTTTGTCACATGCCCATCATCGGCCGCCCTGATGATGTCCCCACCCAGGCCAGCTAACTCCAGAGCCTCAGTCGGGGTCCGGGAGAGACGCAGCCCCAGGGGCTTGGGCTCAGAGACCCTCATACTCCTCACAGAAAGGTTTTGCCCAGCTCATTCGGGACCCTCACTGTCCCCCTGCAGCTGGGACACTCCATTTCCGATGATCCCTGCATGCTCGGAAGCTCCTCCGGCGGGGGGCAGGAAGTCCTGCCTTTCTCCTGCAGCACGCTGCTTCCTGAGGGGTCCCTTGCAGCAGGCTAAGCCCGGCTGGCTCCTGGCCCCTCACCCTCCTCGCTGCCTGCACCGTCTCCTCTGTGGTGGTCACCGAGTCTGACTCTGGGTCCATCGTGACCTTGCTGAGGCCTGCATGGCTCTCCATGGTGGACGGGGGCAAAGTCAGGCCTCTGGGGGCTGAGTCGAGAGGCTGGGTCCGGGCTCCCATGCTCCCCTGCCTGCCTGGCGGTGTCCTCCACGGCTCCCCTGGAAGCCTCCAGACTCCCTGCTCCCACCTGGCTTACCTGGCCTGTTGGGTGACAGACCCTGTGGGTCTTGAGGACAGGACTGGCACTTCTGACCACAGTCCCTGTTTGAAGAGACTGTAGGGTCCCTGAGTGATGGCAAGGCAGGTAGGACACCGCGGCACTTGGGAGCCACAGCGGTGTCTGAGCAGGGGATGAGCAGGCTGGGAGTGAAGAGCAGGTGCTGCCGGGACAAAGGGACGCTGCCCCGGGCAGCTCCGTGCCCTCTCACCCACTCCGCCCGTCGATGGTTTGCTCTGTCCCAATGGGGGTGGCCAGGGGCCTTGCTTCTGGCACTAGCTCTGATCTGTATCTGCCCAGGAAGCGCCATGTGCAGCCCAGAGGAGGCCCTGCTGCAGCTGGAGGAGGCCTTCTTGGCCACACTGGCCCTCGTCAACACGCACATCCTGCAGCCTTTGCTCTTGGCCGGTGGTGAGTCCAGGCTCCCAGGGGTGGGCAGGGGGCCGGGGAGCCGTCTGCAGGACAGGAGTCCCACCTTGCTGCACCCCCCGAGCCGCAGATATCTCAGTGGCAAGTGGCAGCCCCGGTACTTGGTGTCATGGCCCAAAGCTGCGGGCTGCCCCCTTTGCAAAGTGACCCCGAGGGGCCAGCTGTGAGTCTGTGCCGATGCCTAATCGGCCTGGTGTGGAGTGGGAATTCCTCCTCTTTGGGCGTAGGCCTGGCAGTGGCCCCTGTCCACCTCTGTTCTCTGCCACCTGGGGCCCCAGGAGTGCTGGGAGAGCTCTGACCAGGAGGCGGCACACCTGGGTTTTGCTTCTGTCTCTGGTCTCCCTTGTGGAGTGATCTTGGGCAGTACTGTCCTTTTGGGGCACCTGTGCACTTGTGAGACAGCCGAGGACCGTACAGCAACCATATACACTCTGAGCTCTGGATGGGCAGGGCAGCCGGAGTCACAGAGGATTCCCCAAGCTTGTCAGGGTCTCCCCTAGTTAGCAGGTGGTAACTGCACACCCACATCTGCTGCAGAGTACTGCTCATCGCTCCAGCAGGACTGGTCCCCACCCCTCAGGGACATGGTACTCTGCTGTGGCCTCAGGCCCTGTCCCGCTCACCGTGTGGCCTTGCCCTACGCACACCCAGATCCCTCGGAGCCCCGGGCTCAAGAGTGCCTGCAGCTCTTGCGGCAGCTGCACAGGAACTCCCTGCAGCTGTGGCATCTGACCCAGCAGAGTCTGCAGTCCCTGCACAGGAGGTTACGCCAGCCGCGCACCACCGGCCTGGAGTCCCTGCTGCTGCTGGGCAGTGCTGACCGCATCCTGCAGGTCCACCTGGAGTAAGATGGCCAGGGCGAGCCTGGGGTGGGGTTCACAGGGTGTGGGTGTCACCTAGCTGGAGGACTTGGACATCCAGGCCTGAGCCTTGGGGCCTCCCCGGGACAAGACTGTGAATTACAACTGTCTCGTTAGCTCACAACTTGACAGTACCCGAGGCCAGGCTCCTGCTGTTCAGTAGGGGGGTCTGGGACCCCCCAGAAGGGCAGAGGCTTAGGTCTGGAGCTGGGGACTGTGTCATAGGTACATCGAGTCCTACACAAGCTGCGTGGTGGTGCAAGTCTTCCAGCAGGTGGCAAAGAGGAAGAGGTGAGCAGAGGGTGCTGCAGGGACTCCCGAGTGGGTAGGGGGTGTGGACAAGAGAGCCAGGCTTGGGGGATCCCCACCCCCAGAGCAGCAGGATCGCAGCCGCGAAGCATCCTCTGGGCTGATCTCCACTGGGAAGAGGGAGGCAAGGCCCGGCGAGGATGCCCTGGAGCCTACTGGCAGGGCCCTTCCGGCTCTCAGTGACCCTGTAATCAGCCCTCCCTTCCGGCTCTGAGCCACAGCTGCTAAACCCAGGCGGGAGCCCAGGCCCTGCAGGTGGGGCAGTAGGTGGGCGGGGCAGGGCCGTATGGGGGTGACAAGGTGCACGCCCCCCCGCCCCCCAGAGAGTACTGGCACACACAGTGCAGGCTGCTGCAGAAGCACCTATCCGGAGTGAGCTTTGAGGGCCCGGTGGACGCCCTGCTGGCCCGGCTCCTGCACCAGCCGCTTGCACAGCACCTTCAGCAGCGTGTGCTCCACCTGCTGCGCCTCAGGGATACCCTCGGGGAGGTGGGTACCGGGCGCCTGCAGAAGGAGCGGGCAGTGAGGGAGGGGAGCGGCAGGGCCCAGGTTCGGGGGCCCAGCCCTGCCCTGGAGCTCGGAGGGGACGTAGCTCTGCCCTGGAGGCCGGCAACGACCCAGAGGGTAGAATCTCTCTCTGGGTGCCCCGAGCACCCCAGACCGCACGGTCTGTCCCGTCCCTCGCAGGGCCACCCTGCCCAGGAGCTGGTGATGAACGCCACCATCCTTCACGGGAACCTGCAGTCCTTCCTTCAGCAGGCTCTGGACCAGGCTGCGGCCACCCAGGCTCTGTGGCACAGCCTGAGTAGCCGCCCGAAAGTGAGTCTGGGGCCAGAGGAGTGGCCAGGCGGGGAGTCCACAGCGGGCGTGAGGAGGGGCCGCCGGCGGCTCGAGCTGCTCTGTGTGCTCTGTGCCCCCTGCCTCTGTGTCCCTCTCGGAGGAGGGACTGGCGGCTGAGCCAGACGGCCACTAGTCATCCTCGTCCATCCACTGAGCAGCCGTGAGCCGGCCCTGACCTGGCTCTGGGAAAAAGCAGTCAGGAAGCTAGATGTGGTGGTGCACGCCTATAATCCCAGCACTCGGGAGGCCGAGGCAGGAGGATCATTGGCAGGTCAAGGCCAGGCTGGGCTACATAGTGAGTTCAAGGCCAGGCTGAACTGCGTAGGGAGACCCTGTCTCGCAAAAACCAACCCCTGCATCCCTAGTATGGCAAAAAAAAAAAAACCCTGCAGTATGGATTCTCTCCGGGAGGGGGTCACCAAGCACCCCTGGGTCACTGCCCAGCATGTCACACCCTGCCCCGGAGAGCGTCCCTGTGCCCTGGGAGAAAGTGGCAGGCCTGTGCGGAGGGAGGGACTGCAGAGCCTGGCGGGCCCAGCAAGAGAGGGCGCAGAGGAGTGGGCCACCTGGAGGGTCTGGGGGGCAGCCTCTGGGCTGGGCCTGCCCGAGCCTGTATCCCCCAGGACCTGCTCTGCACCCCGGCTCACTGCCTCCTGCAGGACAGCCAGGACATCCCGGTGACGGTCACCCCCCTGCGGGCTGAGCGCGTGCTGCTCTTTGATGACACGCTGGTGCTGCTGCAGGTGGGGGGCCAAGCTCTGAATCTCACACCCACGCCCGGGGGGGGGGACCCTTCCCTGCGCCAGCCTCCCCCCCCTTCGCATAGGCCCGTGTCTCTGCTGCTGGCCTGGTCTGGCGAGCTCAGCAGGCCTGAGCCTTTCGGGCCTCCCTGCTGGCCGCGGAGCCGTGAATGACCTAGCTGCGCTGAGCCCGAGGTCACAACACAGACTGTCCCCACGGGAAGGGACCTCCTCCCTCCCGTCCCGCTCAGAGCAGGTGGCCTTCTGGGTGGCAGGACGGGTATGAGCCCGTTTGGAGGAGGAGGGTGTGGGGAGGAGCCCATCCAGGAGCAGCGGCAGGGGGAGGGCATGGCCGAGCGGTTCTCCGAGCAGCCTCAGGAGGTTTCTCTTCCGGCTGCGAGGCTCCAGGCTCCAGAGGCTGCAGACTGCTTCGGTGACCTGACCGCGGGGCTGGGGTGGCAGCTGGGGCGCCTGGCCAGGCCCGGGCGGGGGGCGAGGTGGAGGAGCCCTCGGAGTGGGCAACAGGCAGCAGGGAGGGGCAGCCTGGGGCCACGGGGTTGGTGCTGGACAACTGCGCGCCGTTCTCTTGCAGGGCCCCAGTGTCTGCTCCTTCGATCTGAGGCTGGTGTGGGTGCGCCCCGCGCAGGACAGGTGAGCCCCGCCACGCCCCGTGGGCCCTGCCCATGCCCCGGGCTCCCCCAGGCCCCGCGCCCCACTGCCCGGGCACTGGGGCCAGCCGGTCGCCTCCACCTCCAGGTGCACGCTCTGCATCCTTACGCCAGAGGAAGAGTTCTCCTTGTGTGCCAGGAACCCCCAGGGCCAGGTGAGCGTGCACTAGAGGAGCCTGGGGCAGCGGGGAGCAGAGGGGGCCCAGGCAGAGCAGCGAGCTGTCCCTCGTGCCCACTAGGTGGTGTGGCAGTGGAAAGTCTGCCAGGCTGTGTGCCAGGCCCTGCGCGGGAAGAAGGACTTCCCCGTGCTGGGAGCCGGCCCGGCACCCTCCAAGCCGCCGGCCTGCCGCTCCATGGCCTACACCTTCCGCGCCGAGGGCCGCCTCTGCCGGGCCACCTATGAGGGCGAGTGGTGCTTGGGCAGGCCCCACGGCAAGTGAGTGGCTGCTGACGGGGGGTGGGAATCTCTCTGTGTAGCCCAGGCTGGCCTTGAACTCAAAGTGATTCTCCTGCCTCAGCTTCACAGGTGCTGAGGTTACAGGAGTGCGCCACCACACCCCACAGCACAACAGTTCTCATGCGTGGTGGTGTGGAGGCCCCCTGGGGCAGGGTTCTCACCTCTTGGGGAAACTGAGGCCCAGAGACAGGGTTGATTTGTCCTAGGTCCTAGGGCAGATCATTGGGTGAGCCTGGGTGCACCCATAGGTCTATGTGTCCCCGCAGGCAGGACAGCCTTCGGAGGATGAGGGCCCAGCTATAGCTGGGGAAGGTGACTCAGAGCGGAAGGGACTCACAGGGCCACACTTCAGGGATGTGGTTTTTAAGACCCTGCCTGTTTCGAGAGGTCTGGGAGTGGAGTACACACAAGAAGACCAAAGCACAGTGCCTCATCCCAAGAGGACAGGAGGAGGAGGACGGGGAAACTCATGAACCAAGATTTGGCCTGCGTTGAAGTTTAGCTCTGAGCTTCCCAGTGGTCAGAGGGAAAAGGGAATCTAGAGTTTCCGGGCTCCCCAGGGGGTGTGATGAGTGCCCTACCAGGCTGCTGATGCTGAGAGGGTTAAAGGGATGGAGGGGTCAGAGCTCAGAGCGCGGGCTGGGTAGGAGTGGGAGGACCTTCACGGAAGCCCGCGGCGGTGGCGGGCTGGGTCTGGTGGCCTGATGGCTGGGGGCGTCATGCACTGTGTTCCAGAGGGACCCTGAAGTGGCCGGATGGGCGGAATCACGTGGGGAATTTCCGCAGGGGCTTGGAGCACGGGTAAGGCCCGCGGAGAGAAGCCAGGGCACACGTGGCGGGGCCTCAGAGGCTGCACTTGAACCCCAGGCGGGAGCCCAGAGGCTGGGAGCCAGGTCCCCACCCTGAACAGAGGGGTGCCAGAGGGGTCCTAGCTCCAGCTGGGGAGGGGGAGGCCTAGGACAGGAGGGCCCTAGGCTCACAGGGACAGAGAAGAGGGACGGGCGTTCTGGTGGCAGGGTGGGCTCTCACTGCCAGCCCCCCCCACGTCAGCTTCGGCATCTACCTGGTGCCCAAGGCCACTGAGGACAAGTTCGACTGCTACAAGTGCCACTGGGACGAGGGCCGCATGTGCGGCTACGGCATCTGTGAGTAAGTGGCGCTCCGAGGGGGCGGGGGCAGGGCGTCCCTGGGCCCTCTCAGAGGCAGGGCCAGCCATGTGTGACCCTCTAGGTACGGCTCGGAGGAGGTGTACAAGGGCTACTTCCAGGCCGGCCTGCGGCACGGGTTCGGGGTCCTGGACAGTGCGCCGCAGGCTGCCCAGCCCTTCCGCTACACGGGCCACTGGGAGAAGGGCCAGAGGAGTGGCTACGGCGTCCAGGAGGACAGCAACAGGTGACGCCGCAGCCCAGCTGCCCCCGCAGCCTCTCCCAGTGTACCCCTCAGTGCTCCGGGTCCCGGCCGGCATCCGAGGCCACGCCTCTTCCTCTGACCTCATCCCGCCATGTCCCCCCACCGGCCTCTCTGGACCCCTGGACGCCCCCGCGGATCTGTCACGTGCTCGGACTTCCCCAGCTCTGCACGCCCGGGATTCACACCCCTCCTGCTGTCCCCCAGGATGCCCTTGTCCAGCCAGGCTCTTTGCCTCCTCTGTCTGAAAATGATTCTGACCCCCTCCCTGTCCCCAGGGGCGAGCGCTACATCGGCATGTGGCAGGCGGACCAGCGCCATGGCCCGGGAGTTGTCGTCACCCAGGCGGGGGTCTGCTACCAGGGCACCTTCCAGGCGGACAAGATGGTGGTGAGTGGGGGGAGCTGGGTGTGTCTTGTACTCCCCAGCTCCAGGGGTGATAGGGGAGCGAGGGGGAGGGGGACCCAGCTCTGCCACCCACTACCCTGGCTTTGCCGAATCCCGGCCCCTGACAGCCTCAGTTTCCCCAAAGCAACTCAGGCTGAGTATTTCGGCAGAGTCCCCCAGACAGCAGGAAGGGTGTGTGCGGTGATGACCCTGCACCCCGGGTCCCATCGTCCTGTGAGGTCCTCAGGGAGCCTCAGAGGTGGAAATCATTGTCCCGAGCACGCGGGTGACAAACAGGACGCTGAGGGGGGTCAGTGTGGCTCTGGGGCAGTGACAGGGCAGTGGGGGGAGCCCCAGGGTGAAGGGCCAGGCCGAGGCTGTGTAGGGCACCTGGAAGGGAGATGCCCAGGCTGGCACTCGGCAGCCCTGGCTGCCCCTCTCCCCTGCTGACGCACCCTCCCCCTGCCTCCCAGGGCCCCGGCGTCATCCTCTCGGAAGACGACTCACTGTATGAGGGCACCTTCACCCGGGACCTGACCCCCGAGGGCAAGGTGAGAGCCGCTAGACAGACAGTGTGGTGCCCATTGGCTCTGCCCCTGGCCCAGGCTGAGGGTGCGGGGGAGGGCGGGCAGAGTCTTCCTGTGACTGGGAGGGGACCGGAGGATGGGTCTTGTGTCCAGAGGGTGCTAGGGATTCTCTGGCCGTGTATCCTCAGTGCACCCACCCAGTGCCCAGGGAGCTGTCCCTGGGGTCACCGTCCTGTGTATGCTCCTGCCTCAGCCGACCAGCCAGGGGCACTGGCGCTGCTGCCGGGGCTCTGGAAGTGTTTGACAGGGAAGGGCGGGCACTACCAGCATGACGGGGTGGATGCCCAGGGTGGCAGGCACTACCCTCCCACCCCTTGGTTGGTTCTCCTGCTCATTCCTGGGCTCTGTCCATCTCTCACTGGGCTGGGGGGGCCCTGTCCATCCTCGGCCCGTCTGACCTGGAGTGCCGGGCGTGAGGGCGCCCCAGGGGCTGACGGATGGCTGGACACACAGACAGCCCTGCCTCCGTCCCCGCTCCCAGGGCAAGATCACCTTCCCCACCGGCTTCACCCTGGAGGGCTCATTTGGCGGCGGGACAGGAAGAGGGCTGTACACCCAGGGAGTGCTGGACACAGCCGCCCTCCCGCCGGACCCCAGCAGCACCTGCAAGAGGTGAGCACGGCCGCCTGTGCCAGGGCCTCAGCGGAGGTGCTGGGCGTGGCTGAGAGCCAGGAGCTGGGGCACGGGAGGCTCTGGGCAGGGAGAGCTGCGCGTGCCACGGACCTGCGGGAGATACGAGGGCCGGCTGCGCTTGGACCCCGAGGGCTTGTTCTAAAAGGGGTCCATGGCTGCTTACAAACCAGACACACAGGAGAAGGGCAAAGCAAAGGAAACCATGGACTGATCTTCGAGGAAAGAGACAGACCTGCGATGGCGATGGCTGGGCCCGCCTGGGCCTCACTCCCCGGCAGCCCAGGTGGAGAAGGGCACTTGCCAGCTGCGCTCGTGTCACTGTAGCGCATTTGAGAAGCAGACAGACATTTTTCTGCTCCATGAGAACAGAGTTCTTCCTCTTGGGGAGCAGCGCCTCTTGGAGGCTCCGTCCCTCTTGAAGGGGCTCGTGGGAGGTGGCGTTCAGACATGCAGAGGGGTGGCGTCTGGCTGAATGTGGTCCCTGCACGCAGCTTCTCCCAAGCAGCAGGCACTGGCGTGGACCGTGGTCCCTTGGAGAAGCTGCGCGGGGCACGGGGGGGCATGCTGTCCGCTGGACACAAGCACGGCCAGGCATCGTCCAGGGCGTGACCTCCCGCTGGCCAGACGCACCAGGCTGCGGGCACTGGGCTCTTTTGGGCGGAGACCACTGCCGGGACTTGGCCTCAGCCCTTGGTCCCCTCTGTCTGGAATTCTGGGATCTCTGTCCGCGTGGCCCCTCTCCGTGGACGCCACCTGCTCTGCCTGCCGCTGTCCACCCCCTTTCCCGAGTCTGACCAGTTCAGCTCTCTCCACCTCTCCCTGTCCCCGGACAGGCAGCTGGGTGTGGACGCCTTCCCTGTGGAAAGCCGCTGGCAGGGCGTCTACGGCCCCTTCTGGGACTTCGTGCTGGCCGGCTGCCCCGGAGAGCTGCAGGAGGCCCTGCTGGGCTTCCATGTACAGAGCCCGAGGGAGCTGCGCCGGTCCCAGGACTACCTGAGCTGCGGGAGGTGAGGTGGGCACCCGGGCCTGCGGGTCCCGGGGCAGGTGTGGGCCAGGTGAGGGCGAGGGTCGCTGCAGTGCCCCGTGCTGCCCAGGAGCTGCCCGGAGGACGAAGCAGGCAAGATGGAGGACACCCTGGAGGAGCTGCTGCGGCACCGGGAGCCCGCAGCCCTGCGGCAGCACCTCCGGCAGGTGAGGGCCCTGGGCCGCGCCCGGGAAGCCGGCCCGGCTGTGAAGCGGGCGCTGAGTGTCCCTGTCCCCTCTGCCCTTGGGTCAGGCTCTGAGCTCCGCGCGGCACCCCCTAGGAAAGCTTCTCCGCACCCTGATGCTGACCTTTCAGGCCACCTATGCGGGCATCGGGGCCAACAAGCACCTGCAGTGGCTGGCGCAGGCGGAGGTGAAGCAGCATGCCTGCGAGCTCTGGGCCGCCTACAGGTGAGCCCTCCCTGGGAGCCCTCCCGGCCTGTCCTGGTCCCTGTAGCTAGGGACCTGGCTCCTCTAACACACCCTGTTCAGCAAGGAGCCAGAGGGTGGCCGGCACGCAGCTGCAAGCGGAGGGGACACGGACAGCAGCCAGGGCCAGCAGCAGCTTCGGGCCGGCTTCCGAGGCCGGGCTCTGGGGCCTTAGAGCTGCTGCGAGCCAGGCTTAGCGGTCACACAGATCGAAGCCCTGCATGTCGCAGTCCCCGCTGCTGGGCTGAGGGCGCTTGGGCCCACATCCCCTGGCTGCAGCCCCGTCCCTGCGGTGGCTGAGACGCTGAACTCCGTAGCTGTGTGTTCCTGCCCTGGGGGAGGCTGCCCCTGTCCGCAGGTGGTGGCAGACCGTGTCCCTCTCACTGGTCGCAGGGGTCTGCTGCAGGTGGCCTTGCAGCGCAAGGGCCAGGCCCCGGAGGGGGAGTCTGAAGATGCAGAGACAAGGTGACTGACCGCCTGGCCGCCGCCCTGGGGCCTCCCTGGGGAGAAGGGGGGCTGCTGGGCGGGGCTGGTGACCCAACACTGTTTTGGTCGCTTGTGGACCACGACAACCTATGACCTCTGTCCTGTGAGCGAGCCAGGAGGGGACGCACACACAGTGCCCTGGCCCAGGCCGCAACCCGCCCCCGTCTCTCTCAGGGACCTGCAGGCGCACAGACTGATGCTCCCCCTCGTGCTGCCCAGCTTCTACTCGGAGCTCTTCACCCTCTACCTGCTTCTGCACGAGAAGGAGGACGGTCTCTACAGCCAGGGCATTACCAACCTGAGCCTGTTTCCTGACACCAAGCTGCTGGAGTTCCTGGATGTGCACAAGTAAGCCTCTCCTGCCACTTCACCGGGACCCGCTCGATCTTCAGCAAAGCTTGGGAAGGGTTCTAGGTCTGCGTGCAGGTGTGGCTGGATCTAGGTGCCCACAAAGCCAAGCATCTTTTCTCTCTTTGGTTTTCCTCTGGCTCCCCCTTGTGGTAATAAATGTTATAGCAGCCGCTCTAAAGTCAGCACTTCCCCAGCTGAGGGGTGCTTGTCCCCAAGGGAAGCTGGCATTTCCTTCCCAACAGCTCTAGCCGGGTCCCTCAAGTCCCTTAAAGGCTTGGCCTGGGTCCTTGGGCCCACCCTGAATGCTGCCATCACTGAGCAGGCTTCCGAATCTGGGCAAGTGCTGGGCTCTTGGACAGAGAGTATGGACAGGAGGCCCCTCTTCCACTTTTTCTGAGACAGGGCCTGGCTCTGCAGTTCAGGCTGGCCTTGCACTCACTATATAGCTCAGGCTGGCTTGGACTCTCAATGACCTTTCTGCCTCCGCTTCCCAAGTACTGGGGTAACAGGTGTGAGCTCCATGCCCCCTCCGCTGAGAAAATACCCTTCCTCCCTAGCAATGCTGATGTGTTGACACCATGATTGACTTAGCTCTGAGCCCCACGGGCCGCACAGCCCCTCCTTCCTGCCGCACACGGGCCTCGCTTGTCACATGGTGCGGGAGGACCACCTCCTCAGGCGTCTCCTGGCTTCCCTGCCTCGGGCTCCGTGTGTGCACCGGGAGAGCGGTGGGAAGCATTTCCTCCTGCTGCCTGTGCTGCCTGCGCACCTTCTCCCCGGGGGCCACGGAGAGTGCTGTACCCCCTGAGCCCCCGTTTCCTGTTCCAGGCACCTGTGGCCCCTCAAAGACCTCCGGCTGACCAGCAATCAGGTGAGCATCAGGGCCCCAGGTCACCCAGCTGTCACTGTGATTATTGGATCCCCAGCCGGAAGCCCAGCTGCCCCGTCGTAGTTGCCTGCAGCGAAAACTGCAGGGTCACTGTCCTCTGCCTGGCCGTGCCGTGTCAGTGACGCTGGGTGGCAGAGGGCGTAGCCCTAAGACCCAAGCTCACCCAGCCCCTCCCCCAGCGGAGCTCCCTGGTGAGGGACAAATGTTTCCTGTCAGCCACTGAGTGCCTGCAGAAGATCATGTGAGTCTTCTGGAGGGTGGATGGGGTGTGGCTTGGGAGTGTGGGGTCCCAGTTGGGGTGGGAAGCACCCCGGGGCCGTGATCTAGAGCTAGCAACTGCTGCAGCACCACCGTGGACCCCCGGGAGAAGCTGGAGGTGCTGGAGAAGACATATGGGGAGATCGAGGCCACTGTGTCGCATGTGCTGGGCCGGGAGCACAAGCTGCCCATGGACGACCTGCTGCCGCTGCTCATCTACGTGGTGTCTCGGGCGCGGTGAGCGCCCTTTGCATCCCGCCCTCCGTCCCTGAAACCCAGGACGTCAGGATCAGGGCAGATGGGGGAGCGGAGGCCCAGAGGGGAGTCCCACCTCCAGGGCCCTGTGGGTGCCAGAGGTGGAGCCAGGGTCACACCGGGTGTCCAGCCCGCCTCCCCTGCATGGTGCTGGCCCCTCATGGCCCCCTTTCCTCTCCCTCACCCAGAATCCAGCACCTGGGGGCTGAGATCCATCTGATTCGGGACATGATGGACCCCGTCCACATGGGAGGCCTGTACGACTTCTTGCTCACGGCCCTGGAGGTGAGCCTTGTGTGGGAGCTGGGGACACCATCCTGGGGACCTCCAGGCTGTGTCCCGGGCACAGTGGGACAGGGGAGCCCGACATCCCCTTGTGTGAGCGGCCCCAGCCTCTCCTCTCTCCCCAGTCCTGTTACGAGCACATCCAGAAGGAAGACATGAGGCTGCGCCGCCTGCCTGGCCACTGGGACCTCCGGGACCTCTGCTAGCTCCGCCCCTGGACACGCACCACCCACCTGTCCCCAGAGCCAGTGCATGCAGGGTGGGCCGGGGAAACCCGTGTCTCCTCTCTTTCAGGAGACCCTCCTACTGCTCTGGCTGGGTGAGGGCAGGGGGGCAGGGTGCCGGCCTCTCGGCCAGTCTCTGATGATCCCCGTAACCAGGGGTGAAGGGCCCCTCCTCTCTGAGCTTTGTGCTCGCGTGATTGTGTCCCTGTTGCTGCATTCCTGGGCAGAAGGCTCCAGGCTACAGCAGGCTCTGTCCCCAGGAGTGTCCCTGAGGACGCGCCTCCTCCCTGGCTCTGCCCCCGCCTGCTGCGCGCGGGCTTGGAGTCCAGGCGTTGTGCTCTGCTCACCCGTCACGTGGACGCACCGCGCCTCACCACCAGGGCATCCAAAGTAGCCTGTGAACGACATACTGTGGCCTCTGTGGGCCTTTGCGGGGCACAGCAGGCACCCACGAGGCCAGCCTGGGCCCTGACTAACACCCTTTGAGGCCAGCTGGATCTTGGGGCAGCCTCATTCCCCCAAGAAAGCTCCTCACAATGAGCCCAGGCTGGGCTCCCCCGGCAGCCTCAGGGCAGGCCCCCAGGGACCAAAGAGCCCGGCTGCCCCTTGGTGTCCTCCTCCAGAAGAAGCAGGAGAGGCCTCCTGTCTGGTTCCACCCAGTGTGTTGGCCTGAACGCAGGACCTGAGCTCTGGTTCTGCCAGTGGCTAGCCAGCTTGTCGTTGCTATGACAAAACACCTGAGGAGTGACCTCGAGGGAGAGAAGTTTATTTTGGCTCAGGGTTTCAGAGGCTGCAGCTCGTGGTCAGCGGGCTCCATTGCCTGAGGCCGGTTCCCAGCGGCCAGGCAGAAACATCACAGCGGACGTGCGGCAGAGGAGAGCTGCTCACCTTGTGGCAGCGAGGAAAGAGACGGGAAGAGGGGGAGGGGGAGAGGGAGAGAGGACAATGGAGAAGAAGAGGACAGAGGGCGAGAAGAAGCCGAGGACAAGGAACGCCTTCCCCAGTACCCCCAGTGACCTCCTTCCTGCAGCCAGGCCCCACTCCGGAGCCTCCACCTCTCCATCGTACCATCAGCTGGGGACAGCTGTCAGCACGGGGGCCTGTGGGGGACTTTTCAGATCCAAACCGTAACAGCCGGGAAGCTGTAGCATCTCCAAGAAAGCCCCTGGGTGGGGGCAGACCTGCTGAAGAGGGAGGATGTCCACACACCTACGATTGCGGTGGTTCCCAGGGCTTCCGTCCCCCAGCTGTTGGCAGCTTCTTCCTGTCCCACCCGAGCCCTGTCCTGCTATGCCACGGAAACCCCAGCACCTTTCCGGCCTCCTTTGGGATTGGGGAGCCCTGTCCCCCACCCACCTTGCCCCCACATAGGTGGCCAGTGGCCGCTGCTGAAGGCGGGCGTGGAGGTGGGGACGGCCGTGTGAGCTGTACAGCTGGGGCCTCTCAGCTAGGCCGGCCCTCCTCCCTGCCTCCTAAGTAAACACTGTATTTGAGGGGTGCTTTTCGGGAGAATTACCACGTTAGAACCTGCTTCTTTCTTTCATTTTTCTGAAGAGGCCATTTTATCTTTTGATGGCATCTGCTGCTGTGGGTGATAGGGAGCACTGACTGTCTCACAAGTGTCTGGATAACTGTCCATTGCTGGAGCCCAGGCTGGGCGGCCGGTGCCCCTGAAGACTGCTGGGCCCAGAGAGTTCATCTGTGCATCAGGAACACAATGCTCTGTGCAGAAGAGGAGTGAGCCGGGCGTGGTGGCGCACGCCTGTAATCCCAGCACTCGGGAGGCTGAGGCAGGAGGATCATTGTGAGTTCCAGGCCAGCCTGGGCTACAAAGTGAGCTCAAGGCCAGCCTGAACTGCATAATGAGACCCTGTCTCAAAAAAAGACAAAAAACAAAAACAAAAACAAAACAAAACGGAAGAGGTGTGTACCGTAGCCAATACCCAGGGCTACTCTTGGGAGATACCACCTGCCAGGACTTGACTACACCCCCTGCAGTCCCTTGGTCACTCCGCCATGGAGCTGGCAGCCAGGTACGTTTGTCAGCTTTCCTGGGCCTTGTGTGCTGGGGGCATTGATTGTCACTAGGCACTGATTTGGATTTTCATGCTTGTGTGGGGCTGTGTGCAGGTGACTGGGGTCCTCACCTGGGCTCTGCAGAGTCGGTCACCTTGTTGGATCTGCTGATGTCCACTGCCAAAGGTCCTTCGCCATGGACACCCATGTGTGTTGTAAATAGAAGGCACAGGCCTGAGTAATCTGCTGCCAGGGGTTTGAACTAGTTCATGATGTCATTCCATGCTCCGTGCCAACGCACTTGATCAGCCCATTGGCCACTGGTTCCGTGAAGATGATGCATTTAAAAGGGAAAGGGGTTTTCCAGGTATCTTAGCTTTCCCGCTGCTGGACACAATACCTGCCACCCACAGCTTCCAGGAGGAAAGGTTGAATTGGGCTCACAGTTCCAGAGGGTTCAGTCCATGCCAGCCTGGCTCCACGGCAGGAACATCATGGTGAAGCGCTTTAGGCTCACGGTCCCTAGGGATTACTGCTCTTTCTTTTAAAGTGACTGCTCTGTACACACTTCACAGGCATCTTGAGTAGGCTTCCTGACCCGCTGGAAAGCAGGCTACCCGAGAAATAAATCAGAAACAGATTACAAGACCACTGGAGTGAGTTTTTATTTTAACAGGACCTGTGCAGGAGTACAGGGGTTCAGCACACTGGACAGAGCCCTCCGAGACTAACCAAGAAGTGTGAGGAGAGGCTGCCTGTGTAGCAGCTGCAGGCCTGTGACTGGTTCAAGTGTAAGTCTGTGATTGGTTCAGATTTGGGCCTTTTGATTGGTTCAAGTGCAGGCCATGGTTGGTTCAAATGAATGGGGCATCCAGGGCAGCCCCGCTGTCATGGCAGCAGGTAAGCTGATTGATTACCAGCTGTCACACCTCCTTGAATATTGGGGGAACTGAAACAGGAATCTTCAGGAGGATTATCTGTGTCCATCGTATCTATTGGGATTTGGGGATGTTAACAGTGGGTCCAGATTCCCCCCGCCTTGATTTTAGCCGTGGCAGGGTGGTTCCTGTTCTTCTCCAAAGAGATGGCAGCAGTGGCTGGAGCAGGGGGCACTGCATCTGGTGGCCAAACTGCACTTCCTGTTGGAGCAGCCTGGTGGTGACCACAAAGCAACCTCATGGGTGCGGCAGCGGGAAGTTGTCCTGGTCCCTTCTGGGGTGTGACAGCTATTAACCGCACCCCGCCCCCTCTGGCCTACACAGGAAAAGGTGACAGTCAGGGCTTCTCATTGGTCTCATGCTGAGCGCCCTGGGGATCTAGGAGGCCCTTCTCACCCCCAGTCACTCTCCTGGAAACCTGTGCCTGGGTGAAAACAGCAAATCAACCTCAATTTGAACACCAACTTGCTTCTCCCCCCAGGGGCTCTACTTTCAACAGCAATTTCCCGAATAGCCTTGGACCCGTGGCCCACAAAACGAGACAGCCGGACTTGACAGTTGTGCAGTCCGGGGCGCAGGGGGAGGGGCGAGGCCAGATGCTTTACGCCCTGGTGTTGAGATCAGGAAGCGCTCTGTCCCCAAACCGGTGGAGACGGCTCCATGTGTTGGTCCAGCTGCTCCCCCACCCCAGGCTGCCCCTGACTATGTTGGGGGCCGTGCAAGATTTCCATTTCCGGTTTTGTTCAGCGTCAGCTACAGGGCAAGCCTGAAGGAGTGGCTGACGCTAGCAGTGTGGAAGATGGGGATTTAATGCTGTCTAAAAACCATCATCCAGGCGGACATGGAGGTTGGGTTATCTTCCTTTCACTGATCTTGGGTCCGTTGCTCAGCCCCAGGGCCATCAGCCCGTGTTCTGTGTTCACCTTGGCTCTGAATATCCTGGCTGTGCCTTTAGTACTTGAGCAGCTACCGTGAGCACGGCTGATGCTGTGACGAGTGTGGGACCCAGAGGCCTGCTCCACTCGGAGGCCGGGGCAGGCAGCCCTCACACCGGCTTCTCCCGCTCAGTGACGGTAGCACAATTCGCCGTGTCCCCAGCTCCCTGAGCAGTTTTCATCACGTTGCAAGGGCTCCACTTTGAATGTATCCTCCAGCGTTCCTGTGACGAGGTGATTAGGTCACGAGGGCCCTGTCCTCATGAATGGGTTAATGCCATTTTTGTCACTGCCGGGGTGGGTCTGTCAGGAACACGAGCTTGTCCCTCTGCTGTTCCCATGTGTGCTTTCTTGCTCTGTCCCCTTCTACCAGGGGATGATGCTCCTGTGCAGAGTGCCCTCAGCCTTCCCAGGTTCCACAACTGTAAGAAGTAAATCTCGGGGGCTGGGGATTTAGCTCAGCAGCACAGGGCCTGCTTGGCAAGCATGAGGTTGTGAGTTCGATTCCCGGTACCAGAAAAAAAAAAAAAAAAGAAAGTAAATCTCTCTTCTTTATAGATTACCCAGTCTCCGTATTTTGTTATAGCAACACAAAACGGACTAAGACACCCAGCCTGCTGTAAGTCTTCTAGTACCATTTATTGCCAAGCTGCTGCTGTGCCTGTTAGGCTTATGTTATGGACACTCGAAATGTGTGTCTTACTTGCTAGGTAACAACCCCTCCATGTCAGTGGCAGACACAGTCAGCATTTCTTTCCTTGAGGGGAGGCCGGGTCACTGTGCCTTGGGCTGGGGGCTCTCTGGGTTTGCAGGGGTGACTTGCTTTAGGCTCCACACTGTATTCAGTGTCACATTCCAGTCTGTTCTGCGCTGACTACTCACAAAGCTAAGCTACGCTCTCTGTGACCGGGAGCACGCCTGGAGCAGACCCTTCAAGCTCCCCAGCCCACCTTGGGTCGGGTTGTTATTTAGAAGCTTCTGGAAAACATGAGCTGCGCAGCACGCAATCCTCCATTTGTTCCACAGGACACCAGTGCTGTGTCTAGGGACGTGCGCCTCTTCCACCCATGACCTGTGCTTGCACACTCAAACTCTGAGCCGTGGATGTGGGTCTCAGCCTTCCTGGTGCTCCTGGCTCAGCCTGGCCACGTGGCCGCAGCCGTACTGCCTGACCCACGCCCAGGACACCAGGTCCATGAGGTGCTTTACCCTGCTGACCCCACAGATGAGACAAGAGGAGAAGGAGGTGCCGCCGCCAGGGTGCCAAGGCTGCCAGGAGCAGCAGCCAGGACCACTCAGACCCCAAGGGGTCACCAGGCCAGCTGGCTAGGACGGACTGAGAGCTGGACTTCTAAATCTCTTTCGTCCTCCGTGGCTCTTTTAGACCTTGAGCAAAGCAATCCCATGTTATCATCTACTGGGCTCCAGGGAAACCTGTTTTTCAGGACATGGTGGCACACACCTATAATCCCAGCACTTGGGAGGCTGAAGCAGGACGATTGCCACGAGTTTGAGGCCAGCCGGGGCTACATAGTGAGTTCAAGGCTTGAGTTACGTACTGAGACCCTGTCTCAAAGAACCAAAATAAATTTTAAAAACAAACAAATAAAATTAAAAATTTAAGAAAGATGCACACAAGGGCTGGGGATTTAGCTCAGCGGCAAAGC